TACAGAAGTATTATTATTTAAGCCATCTGTGTATATGAACCCATAGGTGACACTGTGTATTTGACAGAACTCCAAAAATAGCATTCAGTATAAACAAATTGACCCTGTTCATTAATTAATCATATTATTCAAGATCTGTATAAAAGGCGACACTAGTACATTCTAATGCTGAGAATGTAAGTGCAATACAAATGTTAACTTCTTTAATAATTCATCCCACATATGTGCCATAATTCATTTAAATTCAAGACTACATATGCATAAATATACGTATATTAACAATTAAATGCATAATTAGTCCATCCAAAACAATACCAGCATTACCTTGACAATAGTGATTATATCAAATATTTCAATTGCATATATTTGGAAATATAACAATGTTTTTTGAATAAAGCCTTCAAACTCGTAACCAAGGCACGTCATTCAGGTACCAGTATCAACATTGAAGTAACAATTGCATCCAAACAAATTTCACATAAATTATCACTTACAGATGTGTCTGCATGCATTCTCTATTAGGTTACATCACAGTGGCTTTTGAGTGCCAACGGGAAATGCAGGAGGTATAAATAAAAGGAGTGTGTATGTCTTATGAATTACGTATAACTATTTTCCAACTATTGTTAAATATAACGGTGCTATGCATTTATATGATAAACCGATTACGTGATATGACATCCATAAGTTGCACTTGAAATTGCTGCATATATAAATAAATTATGATTAAGTTTATATTTTATTTAGTTTGAATAAAATACGTTATTATCCATTATACCGCAGTATAGAATTATAATAGTACAATGAAATGCTTAAGGGTTTATTAAAATTCTATTATGTGCACTTTAGAAATATAGAGCAATAAGCATATATCTATGCTTGGGGGAACCCCTTGTTGTGTAATATAAACAATTTAGATAATATCTAAGCATTATAAAGAGTAATTTCAGAGTCATTGTACTTTCTATTCGCTTCCCTTTCATACTTATTCTTAACGTAATAACCCTTGAAGAAACTCAAACTCGCGAAGACTAATTTCCAATTTTTGTAGTTTGTTTGTTTTTTCTTATTAGTTGGTGACGCCTATTTTCCGCACTTCATTAGTCCGACTTTTTTTAATTTTGTTAATCAATTATCCACATATTTTTGAACCCTGTAATTATCTGCAAAAATTAAAAGAATCTTTACATTTTTCTCGTGATTGTTTAATGGTAAATAATAAATCTATTATGGGATTAATTAATGGGGTATCTGATAAGACAAAGATTATATTGCTCTGTTATTAAAAATAAATTCATCTGCATTGAGAACACGTTATTTTTGTTGCAAAGGCATACTATAAAAATAGAAGCATCCTATAAAATAGAGAAGAAAGAAAGAAAGAGAAGGAGAGTGAAAAACACATGGAGAGAAAGAGGGAAGGATGGCGAAAAAAAAGAGAGAAAGGGAAAAGGAAAGGGGTCAAGAAGGAAAGAGAGAGAGAAACGAAAGAAAAGAAAAGAAAGAGAGAGAGATAGAGAGAGAAGAAGGGAAGGACGATGAGAAAGAAAGATATCCAATATCCAATAGAAGATCTGACTACAAACATTTGTTTACATATAGAATATTCATTATAGAATAGTCTTCAGCATAGAAGAATATTCATATTTATATTAAAAATATGTGTATTAATGTAAACTATATAAACTATATACTAGTAAACTATATACTAGGTGATTCATGTTAAATCAACCGCTTTAGACCAGCTCTCATGTATACTAGAAATATAGCATTAGACGAATAATTCTGTCATCTATTGCACAATAGTATATTAAATAAATATATAATTTATTAAAGATGCAATATATCTACCCGTCTTTTAAGGACTATCTTCAAATATAATTAAAAATTATATAGTAAAATTGTTCTTAGAAATGTCTATTTGTGTTTGTCACTTAACTCAACTATATTCTTAACTATTTTTTAAAACTATTATCTGTACAATACTTTCTTACAAATAATAATATTTTTTAAAGATATGAAATTTTAAAAAAATATAGAATATTTTTATTTAAAAATGTCTTTAAATAAAAATTAATTTACGTAGAAATTATTTGCAATCATTATTAACACATTACAACATTACATAAAAGGTTGATAATTTTCCACAAATTTTAATTTAATTTTAATTTATTATTATTAAATTTTAATTTATTATTATGAAATAATTATTTAATTCATATGAACTCCTGTAGAAAATATTATTAGTATGCATACTTTTTCTTGGTAAAATCATTTTATCATTTAATTTTGTTTAAAAATGTTCAATATTTGTAAATTTAAATATAAAATCTTTGATAAGTTTCTAAATAAAATAAGATTTTCTGTATAAAAATTTTATTTCTATAGAACAATATACCCACATAAAAAAAATATCTTTTATCAATTTAAATATAAACGAACTTTGCAGTAATTTCCATATAAATGAATATTTAAATTTCATTATTTTAATAAGAAGAACTTTTTCAAATATTCGATTCAAATTAAAGTGTATTTTTGGTAAAATATATATACTTTTCTTCAAAAGTATTGAATCTTTATATCTCAATAAATTGATGTATATTTCATTACGTATTACACATACCTGGAACTGTCAACTTAATTAGTATAAATGCAGCAAATGACATCTTGATGTAACAAACAAAAAGTATCGTATAGAAGACAGAGAAGGAAGGACCATTTTCAGAATTAAGTGAGTTATACAATTCCAGAGAAGGAACTAAATAAAGAAAAATGTTAGCCAAAAATCAATCAAAAATTTATATCATAAAATTTTTTTTTTAAATATATGCTCAGAGATAAATTATATATTAAGCCGTATAAACATTCCTAAATTTGCTACCTAATATGTCCTTCTAATCAAATGGTTTTAAAAACTATGATGATTGATCGAAGTTAATTTTTTAGAAAACTCTTTAATCATTTTAACTAAAAAACTGATTTTTTTTGTGATTATTGTAAATTTGTTAAATTATTTAAAAATAATAATTATTATTATAATAGTTAATTCTTCTAATTATTATTATTTGCCTAACTATCTTGCAAATAGTTCATACTCATACTCATGATATTTTCTTCTATCACGCACCTTTTTTTTGTGTAATCGTTCTTTAAAAAAAACTTCTTTTTCTTTCTAATCATAACAGTCCTGGGTTGACCAGTCTTCCTCAACCAATGTTTACCATCTGACTTGATTCGATGTTTAAAAAAAACTATGTAATGATTTTTTCGAAAAAAACGCATAGATTTTATAATTAATAATGAACTATATTAATTTTATTATTATTAAAAGAGTAGACGTGAAAATTGCCCAACAGCCGGTACTGCGGCCAGAAGAGACCTATTGTACCAGTTTCACTATTAATTAAACAAAGCCCCTTAAAGCTTTGTGAATAAAGTCTAGAACTAAATCTAGAGAAGAGTTCTTAATTTGTTCTGGTGACAGAAATTCTTTATGAAACAGGTTTTTTCTGTGCGTTATTAAAGCTGGACAGTCACAAAGAATGTGCATGGTCGTTTCCTCATCTTCGAGGCATAATCTGCATTCCGAGCTAGCAGATAATTGTAGTTTATGAAGGTGATATTTTATAAACTATAACAATTATCCTACTTTTTGCCAGTTCGTATCCTTAAGCTTCAAAGTAGAAAGTAATAGCTAGCAGCATTTAGCCAATTTGATAAATGATGATTGAATTCAAAGCGATATTAATTAGGTTCCACAATTACAGTTACACATATATTCACCTATGGTATGTGTTAAGAAAGGAAAATCGTATTTGGTTAATGTTATTGGTA